TTGATTTGGCCGGTTGGCTAATTAAGTGCCGATGGCTAAACAGTTTGGCCAAACAACTTATCGAATGCCACATTTGTGTGGCTCATCAATTTCTACTCAAATTGGGTGTGACACATTTTCGTTGGCCATGCCATATGGCGCGAGAAAATTTATAAGATAAAGAAACTAAAAATTAAACTAGGAAAAATATAAAGTGAGATTATATTAATAACTTTTTTGCATAAATTAGTTACTTGGTGGAAGCGCGAAACATTCTAAGAGTAGCTCATTAAGTCTGAGCGTTATATGGCTATGAATATGCATAAACACGTAAGTATGTATGTACACTACATATATATGTAAGAAAAATCACGACATATCTCTTTAAAAAATCATCTATGAAACATAGTTAATTTAAATACATAATTATAAGTATCTTATCTTTTGTTTTTCTGTTTTGAACAGTTTCCTAATGAGCTGCATATTTTAACGGATTTAAGCAGTTGATTTAGAAATACTTAAATATCGCTTTTTCATAACAAGATTTTATACTACATTAAGTTGAAGTGAATTGTGCTTTAAAACACATGTAAAATGTAAAATTCGAATAGTTATTTTCAATTACAAAGGCCGTCGCAACGACAGTGTGGGCGAAATTCAATATGTAGAGTCCTTGAAGTGGGGGGTTCATTTAGCCAAGCAGCGGTTCTATAAAGCTTCGTTTAGATCTAGTCATAAATAAATTACGTTACTCTTACTTCTAATATAGAATAATAAATAAAAAAATGAAAATGATAGAGTCTCGTGCGCAGCTAGTAGGAAAATTTCCCGATGCATACCATGGACGAGGAGGAGGAAAGCTTTTCACTAATGACATCATGCACTAAAAACGAAATTAACTATCCAACTAAGGGGATTATTCCCATGCTTCTTTGGAAACTATACAGCCCGCATGGGGGAATATTTCCCTTTCCTAGAGGTTTATCTTTTTTTCTATCTGATTTTTGTTATAGAAAGGTTTCAGGGACTCCCCATATTAACGGATTTTATTTTTTATTGTCAATATAAGGTTGTATGCTATTTTCAGGTAGCTCGCAATCTATAAATATTTATTTAAAGAAAAAACATAACTTATGACACTACAACCGTCGAGACACATTACAATTTCAATATACGCCTCTAAAAATTCATGTACACCTAAACCCACACATTCTGAGCCCCTATCCAAATAGTAAAGGAACTGTCCTAGCCAAACAGACCCACACTATAACGATTTTGAAGTTAAACTTCGAAATTTCATTTAAAATGTTTGCTAATTTTTTTTTTAATTCCCGAGTAAAAACTCGTACGGCAGCTTCGAAGTTTGGCCTTAAAATCATTATAATTTGGCTCTTAGGGGGCTTATGGGCCAGGGCTCAAATTAAAGGTATTGTACTATAACGAAATTGTTGTTCGAGTGAAATAGAATCAAGCAAATCATAAAAAGGCAATAAATTATGCATTTCTTAAATTGAGAGGTTATTTTTTTTTAAACTGTGAAATCGCGCTTTTCATCTCAAAATCTAGATTAGTATAATAAAACATAAATTTTTTTATGAAATCCGGTGGTTTTTGTATATTTTTTCAAAGAAGGATATTTTTTATAAATTTGTTTAAGGTCAAGCAGTATTTATGGCTTAACGGCAATATTTTTTGTGAAAGAGAATTATGTGCCTTAGCTTTCAAAACCATTTTGTTTGATATCAAAATATTTCTTCTATCGAAAGCGCATAGAGTGTGCACAAAGCGCACTGTGCGCCGTGAGGTGAAAGTTTTTGGTACAAAAATATTATCAAAAGAAATTTTAGCTGAGTCCGAGAAAGTGACAGATTCCCATATAAGTTGCATAAAACCAATCTATTTGTGATCCGATTTTACTAGAATTTGGTATCCATTACTTTTGTCTATAGAAGTATAAAAATCTATATAGATTGCTGAACTTTCATCCCCGCTATATTATAAGGCAGATTTGATAAATATTATACGGCTTTAAGAAAAATTGGTTTTTGTATGGCTGGTGGGCTTGGCAGTAGGCGATTTTAACCATATTTAAAATTTTACCATTAAAACTAAGCTACAAACCTAATTTCATTAAAATCAGGTAACATTTACCATTTCCGTCCCCTGGTGTAGTGAGCGTCACAGCTTGCCAATCTATGCGATTGTTCAGATTTCTTCATTCCTAGGCAAAAATTCTACAAATAACAAATTAGAGCAAAATCGGAGCACAATTAGTACTCTTTGCCATATTTTGTATGGGGCACTTCCACTGTGCAGCGCCGCAATTATCAATAATGGTGTATGCGATAGTACTCATCATTATTCGAATATTATCACTGTGCGCCGCGTCGCAAGAATAGTTTGGAATTACCCCCTGGTTAGAAAACTTGTTTTCGCTCTATCTCGATTACAAGGGTTTAAAAAGGTATTTTTGGGTACTATATATGTATATATATGTATACTTATGTTTACTTACCCTTACAGATCCTATTGAAATAAATTAAATTATCCGACTACTTTGTCATCATCAAGTTTAATGTGTTTGTAATGAAAAAAGTTGTCATCACCATAAAGAGATGCATAACTCTCAAAACTATATTTGCAACTAAGAATCCCACATTAAAATCGAGTTGCGGTCGCCCCTCGGCTAGCAATGGCAAACCCCCGAGTGAATTTCTGCCATAAAAATAGCTTCTCATAAAAATAGGATCGCCTTTCGGAGTTGGCGTAAAACTGTAAGTCCCTCCCCATTGTGCTTCAATATCAAGGCGCACGCCTCAAATAGGAGGAGAAGCTCGGCCAAACACTAACATATATATGTGTAAGCGCCAATCTGTATATATGTACATATAATACGCGAAGGCATTTTTTGATCAGCGTAAAAGATCTGCACCGTTCGTTCGATTTTCAAAAGTGAGGAGGGCTCGGGCTGTAGATATGCAATAAGGATTTATTTGTTTGAAAAGAGTTGCCCCCTTTTAAACACTTATCTATATTCAAATTATTAGTATCAATTATTCAAAATGGGTATTAGTCGAAATGGTTTTGAAAGGCTTTTTTTAACATAACTATAGGAGGGTTTTCACCTGTATAAAAAATTTAAATTCAATTCGAATAAAGGGAAATGGGGAAGAGAAGTATGTATGTACCACCATATGGGTGCCAAATGGAATGGTTTTAAGAAGGTAATGGTTTAAAAATATTTTAAACAAGGTTGCCACCTGCTTGAAATGTCGAATTTAATTAAGTTGTACACAAATTATATGAAACATCAGAATATGAATGTCAAACGAAAGTGTGTTAAGAAATCTTTATTTTCAACGCTAAGACCGTTTTTGAGGTGATGAAAAAGGGTTGCCACCTGTTTAAATAGTTAAATTAAAAATATTGAATAAGTGAAATGAATTCTTACAATTTGGGTATTAATCTAAGGGGTTTCAAAAATCTTTTTTTCTGAACCATACTTACTGGGGTTGCCACATGTTTGAAAAATCAAACTCAACTTAATTTATCACTTAATTAAAATATGTATCGCAATGTTAGACAAAGGAGCCTTAACAAGAGTTTGGCTTGAAAATACTTTTCAAGAGGGCTGCCATCTGTTTGAAAGGTTTACTTTAATTAACTAATGCAAAGTTTATGTGAATTATATAAATACGCGAATGAAACGAAAGATTGTTAAGAAATATTTAGTCAGAACATTTGGAACGTTTGATAAGGGCTGCCACGTGTTTCAAAAGTTACATTCAAATTATTCAATAAGTACGACGAATTATTAAGGGATGGGTATCAATCGAAATGGGTTTGAACCCTCAAATTCAAATTAGTTCGTCTGCTATTGAAACACACGTGTATCATAATGTCAAGCGAAAGAGATTTAAAAAGATTTTATTTTGAAATAACTTTGAAAAGGACTTCTACCTGTTTGAAAAGTCGAATTTAATTAACGTATACACAAGTTTTATGAAATATTTAGATATGGATGTGAATCGAAAGAAATATATGAAAGCTTTAGTTTGAAAATATCTTTAATTAGGCTGGCCACCTTTTCGAAAACAAAAACACATCGATATAAAAATATAGGTATATGTAAATATGTGTATTATACGGAAAGCTTATTTGTATGATAGTCATTCCATTTTCAGCGTTCTTTTGAATTTCAAAAAGGGGAGGTCAAATTAAAGACCTTAACCCGTAGATATGCAATAAAGTTTTATTTTTTTATTTAAGATCTTTTTTCTCGGTAAAGGGTGATTTGAAATTTGATGAAATTAAAAACCTGCACTATGCGAGACCTCCTCTCTTCACTAAAAAACGGCTACACGGATTTAGATGAATGATCAAATTTCATTTTATTATTACAGTAATAATCTTCCCCATGGTATTTGTAGAGGATTTAGATAACCAAAACGAATACATAAAAGCTAGCCGCCATGCTTTAAGCCTAACATTAGCCATATTTTATGGCTCTACAAAAATTCTAAAGTCGAATATTATGCAACCAACAACTCGAAGTATAAACCAACAATGAAGAGATATTTATGTAATCAATTCATAGAAAACGATAAATATTCTTTAGAAATCGGTTGGTAATAAAAAGAAACTTTCGCTGATCTTTCGTTGTTTAGGCGACAAAGAAAATTCATGGCTTCTACTTATGTAAAAGTGTTTATTTGTGTGCTGCTCTAACTATAAAGAATATGTATACAACTTTGACTCTTTTGTGATATTTTACAGCAACTCTAAATTAGATACGCTCAATCAAGTCATAAAACGCAAACAATAAAAGCTTGTTTTAACGCCTAATCAACGCTTGGGAGGCCATGACGACGCGCTAGTTATTCGTAGAGAAAGTAACAAAGAAGAAATTATATATATACTACCTCTTTATCAGAGTTCATTAGGCTAGCAACAAGTAAAAAAAAAATTGTGTTTTTATTCTTAAAATCTAACCAGTTTAGTGCTAGAAAATATTGACTTACTGCTTTTGTCGCTTGCACGAAGCTGCAGTTGTTGTTTTGATTGCTGCTGAGACTACTATTGTCGTTGCCTCACTTATCCCCGCGCTGCGGTGACCTTCCAATTCTCCTGGTATTTTTCCTGCAACCGCACAACTCATATCCACTTGATCGTTCCCTGGCATGCGCGCCAACTGCTCTTCAATGTCACTTAGCTGCGCGTCGTCGGGTATGGGTGCTGCATTGCCACTGCAGCCATCGCCGCCGCCATCTAACCACACAGCATTGCGATTGCGACGTACTTTCAAATTACGTAGATCGGCAACATTTAGCGTGGCAGTTGTTGACATTGTTTCCTCATTTGTGGCAACTTTCTTTGCTACAGCTGCTGCACTTACTGCAGCTACCACTTCAACTACTGGGTTTGCGCACATATCATCTCTTGCTGCCGCAATTTTAGTGGTTGCTGCTTCTCCTGGCGTACGCCGCTTGGCCGCCTCTTCATTGCGCCTCAGATTGGCTGTGAGCTGTGCCACCTCAGCCTCAATTAATGCATCCTCAGCGTCCTCCACATTCTCTTCTACATCATCAGCAATGTTCGATGCCAGCAGCCGCGGCACTGGTGAGCCATAACTTGCTTCAGATTGCGTTTCACCATCGCCGCACGAGATGCCCGATGACAGAAATGTGTCATCCAAATGGTGGTGGCTGTGGTACTGTTGTTGGTGCTCCTTTTTTTGGCTGCGACTTAGTTTGCTGCCGGAATTCGATGGACATACCAGCGCCTGTTTTCGGCCTGTTGTTGTTGTTACCGCGAGTGCGCCCGGATTTGGCAATGACTCGAAACAACTTAGGCGACTAGTGGAACGACTCATGTCGTAGCTAATGAGGCTGGATTGCTGTGAATGTGTTAGCGAGGCGCCAGAGGAGGGTGAGAGCTGTGCGTTCAGTGTAGAGAAGTGATGGTCGGTGACGGTTCCAGTTTCGGCATTGACACACGACGACGCGCTGGCTACTGACCGTGTCTGCGACAACTCGCCGACATCGACTGCCATGTCGTTTGGCAGCAGCGACAATTTCAACGGCTTTGCCAAATGTTGAAGCGCATGTGGATGCTCTTGTTTTTGTGAAATTTTATGTCGCTGCTGCATATGCAAATTACTGAATTGCTCTTTAAGTGGTTGCTGCTTATCAGCGCTTTGCGCTTGCTTTCCATGCTTGGGACAGCGCGCATTGGCTGTATTCGGCTGTTGCGGCAGCGCGCCTAATGCCTTGCTCTCGCAGGGTACCTGCGCGGGCTTACTAGCAACATTGCTACTGGTCTTCGCGTTACGGCTGCAGTCATTGTCGGTAGACTTCTCTGCGGCGTTTGTGTTGCTTTTATTGCGCGGCTCACCACTCCGGCTCCCCGCCGTCGCGCTTCCGCCAACCGCTGCGCTGTTCTCCGTAAATGGCGTGCGGCGACAATGTTGACGCTTTTGGCCGCAATTTGACGCCTTCAATTTTCGTGGCGTCAACTTCGTGACTTTGGAGACGCTCGATTTGTGGCAGCTGCTATCGACGCGGTGCAACATACCACCGCCGCCAGATAAATTTGTTTTTTGCATTGCTTGCTTGGCAACCGCTAACTGTTTTTTCCGCGCGCCGCCTCTGCTATTTGTCGCAATCTCTGGCAACTCTTCGCTGCCTTCAATCGCAGCACCCGCTGACATTTTGCTACCTACACGCCTGCGACTACGTCTTATGCTCGGCATGTTGCGAGGAAATAATTTTGCGCCATCATTTAATGAGCTCAATGAACGCTGTGATGCGCTGCCACTGTCCAATGACAAAGCTGTGGAGTGAAGTGAATCAGCAGCCTCCGGATTACACGCGGTAGTGATTTTATCTTTATTTGTTGTCGGAGTTGTAGTAATTTTTGTTGTTCTGGGGCCTTTGTTCGCTACCGCTTGTGTATCGCTTGCGCCGTAGCTAATTTCACGGTAAAATTTCGACGGATCATGACCATAAACAAAACAGATTTTCCACCAATTTTTCGTGGCAAGCAACTGGGCGCGGCGGCCCAATGTTTTGGGTAGCGGCAAATATTGTTGCGCTGCCTTTTTCGGATGCAATGCTTGCAGAGCGTGCGACATTTTTGTTGGAGAATAGTTTTTGATTTTCAATTTGAAATGTGGTCAGGGAAAAAGGAAAAATAACAGTAATTGCATGCACTACTAATAAATCAATTTCACGCCACACTGCGGCTCATTTACGCGCACCACCGCAATCGGCGCGCACAAACGAAAATGGAGCAGCATTTACGCTCTGCGTGGCACGCCTATTTTCAATACATAGCCTTTTGCAAGTAGAAAACAAGAACAGAACGCAGTAAAACAGGAAAACTGCAAGAAATTCTTTTGCAAAACCACGCACTCTCAATCGCGCACGCGGCCAAACGTAAATAATTGCAAATCGATCGCTGCAACGCGGCCGAAATAGTCAGTTAGGCGCTCGTCTGCCAGCCTTCGATTGGACGTCAGACAATTACTGTCAATGGCAATTATTCTGATACACGAACAGCAAGACGCGCAAAATCGTGTTCTAATTACGTGCCCCGGATTCACACACACACTTGGATATCGACGTGCAATTGTATTGGAGTATTTGCGCTACAACAAAATCGAACGATGCATGCACAACTGAAGTAGACCGTTTTTTACGCTTTTCTTATTAATACATTTGTATTTATATTTAATCAAAACAAAAATATTTGAAACGCATGCGCGAACGTACGCGATATGAAGTTTCTCTTCGAAAAAAAAACCGGTCGGGTCGATATGCGCCTACGACTTAGCGCGCCTGAAGTTCGTTGCAAACTAACCGCTTGTTGAAGAGCGCGCTTGGCGTATAGCAGCGCATTCGTATCAAAATGCAACAATGTGGTGAAAAACGTGAGTCCGCAACTTAATTTTGATAAAGACGAAATTCAAAAGAAAGTTAACCATTGGAGAAAAGGTAGCAACAAAAATACCTGTGAACGTATGCGCAACACCCAGATGAACATCAACAACACCTGGTCAACATAACGACCACCAAACCCACTACTACCACCGCAGAGGTATCGAAACAGTCAAAACAGTTTGTAAACAACAAGCGCATGCGGCGCTCACCGCTCGTTAGCGCGTACGATTGAATGATGAGTGGTGATTTCCAAAAAGCACCACACTGGTTGCACGTAATTCATATTTACCATGGTTGTTGTTACATGCATATGTATATCTATCCAACAAGTGCACTAGCAAGCAAGTTTGTTTACTATATGCCATAGAGTTAGAGAGAACTCGAAAAATGATAGCAATTTACTAAACCGTACTTGGAACTCACCTCTTTCTACTAAATAGCATTGTAATGAGGTGAATTTGCTAACCGACTCTCTCTCTAGCCAAGTTTCCTAAGCCTCTCTTAACTGTTTCGTTCCTCTCGCTCCGTTTTACCTTTCCCTCATTCTCCATCAACAACCAAACTAGCTGCACCTTCCACTCGCTTCTCGTTCACTAGGCATGTGGCCTTTGGCGCTGCTCTTTTGGCGTGTTCCTCATTGAACGCGCCTATTTTTAAATAATCGCTGTCGTTTTTTCACCAGCCGCTCGAGGTCATTTGACACAATTAACGTGGCTTAAGGAGCAATCGTTCTTGTTTTATGGGTAATGATTGATGCTAGTGTTTGTTGGTGAGTTTATTGGGCTTTGAAAGCAATGTTGCCTTGCAGGTGATCGGCCAATAATCGCCGCCGTTACGCATCGAAAAGTAGATCAGACGCAGGAAATGTAGCTTAGGTGAAATTAGTACGCGTTTATTATAAATGAGAAAGTGTTAAAAAGCGTAAAATATTAGCGAAAAAATACAGACTAAGCTGTAATTTTGACAAATTTCATTGCCTTTTGGCATTTCCTTCTGTGTCTACTATTAAAAGCTGGCTTAATTTGACCCAATAATTTATATGGCTAACGACGTAAAGTATTTAGCTGTAATCCTAGTTAGTAAACTTTTACGGAAGTCTCAAGTCGAGCAAAAGACTTCTAAAGCTTTATCAGCCATCTGGTAATGTGAACGGGCTTTTCGTTAAACTTGGGATCTGTAAACTAGAGGAATGCTGCGCATGTACAACTCTATGATAATATCCATAATTATCATCAGCTACGAATCTGTGGTGTGATGGAGCAGACTCTCAATGAATAGCCTAGAAAATTTGCTTGCCAAACTTCTAAGAACGACCGCAGTGCGCTGTAAGGGAGCTTTTCCTACAACACCTGCGGCTGCTCTAGATGCTTTCCTAACCCTACGGGCACTTAATATTTTTATCAGCGTGGAGGCCCTTAAAGCCACATATAGGTTTAAAAGAAATGTGCGCTGGTATGATACAGTATCGAGTGGGGCGGAAATTGCAGGAGGCAGAGATATAGACGTGAATATATTTTCAATACCTCAGGAAAGTACGCCAACATTGCATTTGTTTAAATATTTTAGCATCTTTACTGATGCCTCCAAAGCAGAAAATCACTTCTCTCTTGGGGAAATTGTCTTGATATTTCAATCCTCAATGCAATGCAATGTGTGGGGGGCTTCGAGGAACTACAGGTACGCAAAACACATCTTAATCTCTATATCAGATAGCCTTACTATGTCTGTAATAGCCATACATTAAAATGCTATTTGTGCTTCCTGCCTTAAAGACGATGAGACAGCAGAATAATTTCTGTGTTTCTTGCATGCCTTTGCAAGTTTTAGGTATGAGGCTTTTGGCAGCGATATCTAAGCTCTTCAACACCCAAAAATCTGCACCGATTTAATCGTGAATATGAGTAGTTTATCTGACAGAATGTCCTCTGCAGCAGCCGTGTTTTGTTCCGAATGATGGTACAACGACTCGGGTCATCCCGCGTGAAGAATGGGATTCATATATTTTTTTTAATGTTGTTCCCTCCATAGCCTTGGTAAACTCTGGATATCGGTCGCAATATTTCTTCCTAGAAGAATTCGCCCTTGGCTTGATATTCTTAAAGTAAGTTGCCTAACTTTCTGATAAAAAATTTCGGGCCAATTGGATATGCCAAATGAAGCCAAGAGTTTCTCTAGAAGTTACTTTTCATCGCACATGAAGCCTTCCTTTGCCACCAGTATCATATCCGCGATTTGATCTGCAGCACTATGTCACATTTCATGCTCCTCGCGCTCAGTTCGGACCTTCTTTTATTACAAAAAATATCTCCTGCTTCCCTCTTCAGCTCGGTAATGTATATCAAGTGCACATAGCTCACGTTGCGCAGATAGCAGCGTGGCTCTGTCGCCGGCATTTTGCTTCTACTCTGTTTTACGTGGCGGGTCCCAAAATCCGCGCAAAATTTTTCAGCCTAGTTTACATGGCGAGTCGGTTTCTCCAAACCAGAAAATGTCCGATGGCGATTTAGCGAGGCCTTACACCGACCATGTTGCAGTGGCCATACCGAAGAATCATTTATTTTTGTCGTGACCAAAGGCTTCGGACGGTTTAGTTACCGCATCTCGCATATGGTTTGCTCAAGAAGAGCAAGCATATCCCATTATACTGCTATATCCAACTCCAAAATTAATGAGACCCCTTGAAAATTTCGCTTGTGGTGCTTATTTTAAATGATTCCATAAATGAGCACAGACTCTAGCTCATTGGTCTTAAAGCGACTATTATAACGCAAATTTTCGCAAAATCTTTAATGCACAAAATTAATATGTCACATCCAACCCAAATCAAAACACAATCGGGTAATTCTATTTGCTAAACTACTAGAATGTACTTATATACATTTTTAATGAGTCACTCACCTTCTAGACATTCAATATTCCAGTTGCCAAAGTTTCATTAACTGAAAATCACAAGTCCTTCATATAAAATCTCCTTAAACTTCAGGAATCACTGTTGTAAAGAGAATGACAGAAGCGTAAAGAGAATTTCAGTATATTAAAGCAAATATTTACACAGTTAGCTGGAGCGTTAGTAATTAATTTAGCTAATTAGTAGCGGGGAGGAATCAAAGTGAAATTCTTTAGTACCCAACAAGCAAACAAACTGTTGTCCTTCAGTTACACTCAGTTATTTGTGGGCGTATGTAGGGTAGACTTTATCTACGTGCTACACTTCTGCAAAATTAAACAACCAAATAAAGAAGTAGAGGAAATATTTTAATTACTACCAAGTGGGGTTGAGTAGGAAGGGAAAAGAGCATCACATAAAAGAAATCAGAAAGAAATTTAAAATGAAAGAATGGATGGTACTGAGATACTTTGAAGTGACATTGTTACCGCTCTTGATATTGAAAAGGAGGCTAAGGCCTTCAGGTTACTAACTGTAACTGTTTTTGCAAAGTTACCACAATAAAAAATTAAACAAAACTGTCAAGTCACAGGAGTACGTACTAGAGTGTGTCTCTTATTTTTTTATTTATGTATGTACTTACATATGTACATTGTATTGCCTCATCAACAAAAGATTGCGACTTCCCTAAGCAAAGCATAAAATTCTGAAAATTGTTTGACTATTATGGAGAACGAAAAATTACAATGAAAATGGCACAATGCCGAAACCGGCATGTCTCCAAACCAAATATACTAAGGACCGTAACAGTTACAACTTTAATTAAAAAAATCGCTCTTTAACACTTATTGTTTGACCTTTATTTAATTACTCTTTAAATAACAGTATTTTTATTTTTATTTTACAAATCCAAAATAACAACTATTTATAAATGCAAGTCTTCAATAACTGCTATCTAAGACATATAATATAAAAATCAAAAATAAATGTTTTTTATATATTATTTAGATACAAATTTAAAATAATTTTTATTTTGTACTTATAAAGTAAAAATCAAAAATAATTGTTATTTTTTTAATTTAGCATACAAATTACAAATAAAAATTTATTTTCAAAATTTATTCTCGGTGAATAAAGAAAAGGATTGGTATGTATCACTTAGTTGTAGAACATTTCCTTTATAGTGAATTTTTCAATGACAGTTTTCCTTAATACCTGTTATGTTTGGTCCCTGAAATTTACCAAGGGATGACGGAAAATCGTTGATAGAAACGGGTTTTCCTAAAAATAGTAGACTTACATTAATA